CTAAAATCAGTTTACAGTTCAGATCAGACAAACACCTCAACAAGAAAAGTTCCAATTAAAGCTTTCAAATTAGTGTTTATTTTTACTACAGTAGCATTCAGGGTGAGATCTTCATTGGGTTTTAAACCAAGTTTAAAAAGGGCGACTCAGTTTACAAGTCATTTTAGAGAACTACCCAGCCTGTAGACAAAGATTTTGTCTTCTGTGCTTCTGGTACAGCTTTGTTAAATCTATGGTGTGACATTAGTTTTGGTTCCAGCTTTGAGACCACAAATCTGCGCTGAGCACTAAAATACCACACAGATGGGAAAAGAGCATTTTTAAGCACAGTAGGTATTTCTTTTCTGGCACAACTTTCACCTGCTTCCAAGGTACATGGAAAAAATGAAAAATAGATTTAAAAAAAACCAAGCAACACTTGGAATATAAAGAATTTAATTGGTAGACCAAAGAGCATTTCAAGGTCGGAAAAATACCAACGCTTGGAGCGCTGCTGCCGCTGTGTCGTTGACCCGCCACGAAAGCAGGGCCCTAAGTGATAAATACTGTTTACCTTTAATAGATGATCCAAGATAAAAACAGCACAAACTAATAAAAAGTTCTAAATCTAAATCCTAACATAGCATGGCGATGGAGCTCACAGGACTTTGCAGTTTTACTTGGCAATGAGATTAATAAGTCTAATAATTGTTCAAGGACTAAATACATTTACATTGAGTTGCATTATTCATTTCTTCTATTCGACGTACATAAGCACAATGTTTGAAAAAGGTTTTCAAGGTTTTGTTTTCATTTTCATGCTGGTTTAGGGGCCATACTGGGGTGTATGAGGCCCTGAATGGGCGTCTTTGCTTATGCCTTTGGCCAACTATGCATAAATCCATAAAGTCAAATAAATGTGTGTTTGTATGTTCACTGAAATTCAAATGTTGAACCCCCCTGATCTCTCTCTGTAAAGTTCCCTCTGTGGATCTGATAGCAGCCTCCGATCTCTGTTTGTCCTTTCTCGAGCCGCCCGGCAAAATGTCAGCCCGGCCAGATTGGATTGCTTTTATTTAAACCATAAATTTAATGTTTTTTACTTCAATCTGGGAGCTCACATCACGTTCAGCAGACATCCAGATTTTTTTTCCTTCAGTGTCAGGTGGACACTTTGGGGAAAAGGCAGTTTGAGAGGCTGAAATAATCTGCGGCCTTGAGCCAGAGAGTCAGTGGCAACAGCAGCGTCTGATTGGCTGACAGCCCCGTCCTCCAGCAGCTGTGCTTGTCCATGCTCATGAAGGGAGGAACCCCACCTCCCCCACCCCTTCAACGCTGCGCTGTGACAGGCTTAACGGTGATATGAGGGGATGTGTTATCTGCTGGCTTCCAAATTCATAAATCTTTGAGATCAGACGAAATTGAAGCTGCTTGAAAAGCTCGGAGGGGAGATTGACATGTCTGAGTGGCTCTGTGGGCGCGCGACGCTGCAAACTGCATGCTAATGCACCATCATGCATATGTTTGTATGTACTCAGTGCGTGTGTCCTTAGAACTTGCATGCATTGCATTTAATACTACCTACGTATGCATGCATATGCATGAGGGTTGACTCTCCACTTTTACACGTACACATGCCAGATACACTGTAGAAAAATCTGTTTACCAGGTAGTCTGTTACTATTTAATTTAGCAAAACCACTGCAAAAAATTACCCCTTTTTAACAAAAGCAGAAGGATTCTGCACCAACAGAATGATTTCTCTTGTCCTTGGTGTGTCAGTAAGAAAGTACTGAAATGAGTACTGATGAAATTCACTTGAGAACTTTTTTCCCATGCTATAAATCTGCAAGGACATTTGATTTCAGCTACATGACAGTTTTGTTTATCCTGGGTGATGCGATACATAGTCCTGCCAATAGTTTCACACTTTCCCTGAGCGACAGGTGGTGGTAACACGCCAAGGTGTGCATCAGTGTACCAGCAAAGGTAGGGTAGAAGACCACTGCGAAGTAGTAAACATGGACATAGACAATGCTGGATTTAAAATGTTTAAAGGATACCTATTATGCTTTTCCATATTTTATGTCTTATCTACAATGTTGGATGTTCATGTTAAACATGGTCAAAACTTCAAATAATGAGGTTAAAGTATTTAAAAGAATCCCTGTGAGGAAAAACTTCAGATTTCCTCCTGTTCTGAAAGCTCTGTTTTGAACTGCTTTTTCTACCAACGGTCTGGCTCTGTCCTAAGACACGGAGCCGTTATTCCATTTATGGTCATTTGCTCAGTACAGCTATGCCAAAGTCCTTTTAGGCAAGTCCTGGCACTCGGCCGCCATCTTGGCAACGCTTCCGGGCAGCTATTTTGGACTATAAAGACCAGGCTCCTATCTAAATGAACGGGGAGAGAGCCAGATCGGCACTTTTACTGGTCACCGGGACAAAAAAAAACTACATCAATAGAATACGATTTCTGCTTTGGCTGTGAAAAACAGACGGTTGGCAACAACAGCCTGGTAACATGCTTCAGGTCTAGGCCAATCAGAAGACACTGTGCTTTGGGGGTGGGGGGGCTTAAAGAGACAGGAGCATCTACAGCTTAATTCAGACAGAGGCTGAAATGAAGGCCAACATGAAAAGTCAGTAAGACAGAAACTTTGAATCATGCAAAGCTGCCGTACAGGAGTCACAGAACTACAATATAAGACTGGAAATGAAGTATAATAGGTCTCCTTTAATGAGGACCTCAAGGACACACACAGACAATATATTGGTTTCCAGTTGTGTATTCTGGTTGTTAATTTGAGACTGTGATTGAATACTTAAAGGGTTTCAGCAGGTCAATTCTAAGTGTGTGCCAGTTTGTATGTATTTAAACCTACCTAATTAATGCTGTCACAGGTATTAAATTCAGTGCTCATTTATGGCAAGAAAACCTAGTGTCCAGGGAAAAGATTGATATTTTCCCCAGAACTAATAACATTTAGAGTACCTTCAAACCTAGTTAGAGTCAAGCATTTTTACTGTGTGTGTCATTTTGGGCACGCCGAGGCAGCCGTGTGTTGGGTGAAGATTGAGTCTGAGATGGAGTGTGAGATGTGAGCGCTTTGCCTTCAGATACACACACACACACACACACACACACACACACACTCTAATTCATTTTCCTTCCTCTGATTTATCTTGTTTTCCTTCGTCTTGTCTGCTCACGCCCAGATAAAATCCCCCAAATTGCATCACCCACCACTCTGTAACTCTGTTGCCTTTGTTTTCAGGCTACAGTGTAGCTGAACAGTAGTGCTACAAAAATAATAATGCATCTGGTATCTCTTAGATTTGAGTTATAACACCATTTATACAGCCGACAACTCTTTTGATGTAATTATTTTTTTGTCTGTGCCGTGGCGTCCGGAGATGGTACAAATATCTCAGAGGGCTTCAGCAGCAGCAGCGTTGTGCTCTGCCAACAACACGGCTGCAGAGTGTGTAGAGTTACTTCAAAGTGTCACAAGTTTGTTAATAGTTACACTACTGATGGCTCATTGCTTATTGTTCATGGTATCTTGCTCATTCCTCTTCTCTTACAGTTGAATCCTGATGTGTTTAAACATCAGCCACCTGCTCAGATTAATCACTACTTTGGCATTGATTTTGAGTGTTTCTAGTCTTTTTTTTTTTAAATGTTTTTTTCCCCCCGGTAGTGTTGTAGTCAAGACCGCATAAACCGAGACCAAGTGAAGACCAAGACCAGAGTTTATCAAGACCAAGACTTTTAGGGGCTGAGACCAAGTCGAGACCAAGACTGAGGGAGGGCGAGACCGAGTCAAGACCAAGACCAGTTCCCCACATTACATGACTGGAAGATCCACATTCACATAAAAAAAAAAAAAAAAAAAAAAAAAAAACAACAACACCCACATATAAACACTAAGAGTTGAAATCAACTTAAGCGCCTTTTCCATGCTTACCACCGCGGGGAGCGGTGACAGTCGTTAACGGGAACACCACATTTTTAATTAGGGTTATTGGCTGCATTTGAAGTAATACATTTTACATCCAAAGTTAGGATGTTAACAAATAAATCAGACCATGCAAAAGCAGTTTGATATTCCCAAAGTTATGGTCTTGAAATGAAATCCTGAGTCATCAATGTCCGAGATGAGACCAAGACCATCAAAAGTACTACAACACTAATTTCAGGTTTTGTTACTTGAGATTCTTTCCCCTCTGTTGTATTTCTTTCTTAGTTTTGTCCATCACTTCTGTTCACAATGACTTAAAAACTGGGCTTCCCCTTTATGTTTACGGTATTTGTTGTATTAATTAGCCTGATAATCGGACAGAAATGTAGTTTTGCCTTCATGTTATTAGAGAGTTAGTTGATTTCTGGTTGGGATGGAGTTGTTATTTTGCTCCAACCATCAGAAGTTACTGATGTATCTGACAGAGGACGGTTATCTTTTGTTCTAAAGTTTAAGTTTTTCTGTGACGCTGGGTTCTGAGGTTGTTTAACTTTGTAGCTGAGATGCAGACACATAGGCAGTTGTAAAAAAAGAGAAGTCACAGAGGATTTATTGATATTAATACAACGAATAGACAGGAAGCAGCTCCAGATGGTGAAGTTCTGTGAGTAGGCAGGTGGAAACGAGGCAAAAACCAAACAAGACAGAAGAAACAGAACTCTCCAAGCTCTGTGACCAAAAACCTGAAGCATGAGAAAAGACAGGGTGTCAAGAAAATCTCCATTCTCTAAAACGTAGCTTTCTCTGTGAGGCTGTAGCACAAATACCACTGGAAGTGAACAGATGACCTGGCAAATATGAAAGCGTAGAGCCGGGGTTTATAAACTGTAGGGGTTGATTGTGGGATTACTCTCAGGTGAGCAGAGAAGCCACAGGTGGTTTGGTGATTTGCCCAGACTGGAGAGTGCAGCGCCACGCCCACGCCAACGCCCACACACACACACACACACACACACACACACACACACAGAAGACTGACAGTAAACGGGCAGAAACACTCGAAGGAGAAAACATAGGAAACACTGGGAACTGATGAGGTGGAACAGCCAAATCTTTACAGGTTTTGATTTAATTTGTTGCAGATATTGAGAACGACTTCTGACTGGACATTTCCTCTCACAGTCAGCTGGCTGTCACCGGTAGCCTTTAGACTGAGTTCAACTGCAAATTTTAACAGAAACATGAGATGACACCAAGCAGCTGAGCAAACTGGTCCTGTGTAGTGGTGGACAGTAAGTATTTACTCATGTACTGTACTTTAGTAAAAATTACAGGTATTTGTACTTGCCACTTTCTACTTCTAGTCCACTACATCTCAGAGGGAGATATTGTACTTTATATTTTACTACATTTATCTGACAACTCGAGTTACAAGATACTTTACAAATTAACATTTTTACACACAAAACATATGAAGATGTAAAAAAAAAAAAAAGATGTTTTGTTAAAAACTACACTAGTCAACAGTTTATACTAGTACAGCTAGTATTTCATGGTTCCAGATGCACAACTGTGATAATTTGCGGCTTTTGTTTTTGACTATTTTAATGTGTTTTTTAATAATTCTGAGGTTTAGTCTGACAAAACAAGCATTGTGAAGTTGTCACTTTTGGCAATTGTGACAACATTTGTCACTATTTTCAAAATTCTTATCAGGAAATATTTTTACCCAGGGGCGTTGCTAGACATAAAGCTCTACTGGGGCCCAGACCCCCTCTTTCCCTATGTAAATTTTTGATTTGAGTTTGATATATTTTTTATTATAGTGTATGAAATGTGTTAGTATGTGCCTCACTAGCCCATTAATACTGACACTGTCAGAAATGGCTTTGACCAGAGCCTAAGCACACACACCTGTGGTACCACCTAAGAAATATTCTGCCATGAGGCCCTCATACCTGACTTGTGAGCCATGTAAACAATTTGCCACCTAACACTGCAGTGCTGTCACTACTACCTCTCCTTTACAACTTTCTGTCTCTGTAATAAACCTGAATGGAAACCTCTTCTAGAAAATAACCCTGCTGATCTGAATGGACCTCTGCGCACTATCTCAATCTCCATTAGGGTCTGAGCTGCTTGTATCTGATGCTGCCTGTAGACCTCTGGCTGTGCTTTTACTGGCTGAAGCTGCCTGTGTTTCACCTGGGTCTGTGTGACCTGCTAAAAACGTCTGGACTGGGTCTGTGCTGGTACTGGATTTGGATCAGCTGTGCTTGTACTGGCTTATGATCCAGCATCTACTCTACTGACAAACGTCAGCATAGCCCCTGTAAATTATAAAAATCAATACTTGCAAGATATTAATGTTGTCAGCTGCCTCAGTCCCATTCAAACTGGCTCCCCAGGTTTCCTACTATACATCAAAAGGAACATAGCATTTATACTATGACATGAATATAACTGTGTTTCCTTAAACGTGATTTAATGCGCATTTTGAAGTAGAAGGGGGGGGGGGATCCTTTGCTCTGCAAACTGATCAAACGGTGTTATCACCGCATATTTTTACTGAATGCTGCTTCTACTGAGTGTAATAAAATAAACGACTCTAAATGTTCATAAAACACATATTTTGAATCATTTATCCCCATTGATGAACCCCACAAAGGATATTATAGCGTTTAAAACCATTAATTCAATTCAATTCAAATTAACTTTATTGGCATGAATGTGTAACAACAATATTGCCAAAGCATCATACATTATTTGGAGGTGCATGCAATTCTTGGCAGGCATGCAAAACTTGGCATAACACCGGATATTCCCATAACGTGCGGAGACATGGCTGGTAGCAACTTGCCCGCTTGAAACACATTTCTGAGGACCTCTCTCCATTTTCCTCAGGTTCATGCGACTGGTTTTGTTTCTGGTTTGGAACCCAGACGTCTTGTTTATTAGAGTCATGTATAACGCCAACTACTGACGTAACTAAGCTCGCCGTAGCCTGGTTTATTCGCTCCAGACCAGCTGATGGAAACGCACATATTTCGCAATTTCTTTTTTCCCCCGTTTTTGTGACACTTCAAAAGTACGCTTAAAATTCGCATGACAGTTGGATGGAAACATGGCTTATGTGATGTTTATTTTCTACTGAAAGATGTACATCCATTTTGCCCAGTCTGCCCTACTAATCAACATTTTAATAGTCAATGTGAATCCACTGCTTTCCATCTTGCATTAGTCCAGAGTTGTAACTAAACCTTCACTGAGAGACAGATAATTATTGTCTGGTTTTAAAATGATGTGCGCCTATGAGGAGCGCCATCACATCCGTGTGCTGTATGGTCTGGTCCCACTGATGTTGCTGCAGGAATGCAATAATAAAATCTTCAAAATAGTGTTTAAAATCTTCTCAACTTTTTTTTGAGCATCATCAGGTCTTGTGACACAAGTGTTTCATCATGCCCCTAATCTGATCTCTGATGTCCCCACCACTTTTCAACACAAAATGACGCCCTTGCAGTTGTTGCTAACTTGACCGCGGATCCCTTCACGTCCAAAATGACGCCAAGCGGTCTTGAAAATTTCATTGGGGGCACAGCACATGGATACAGGGGCACGTGCCCCAGTAAAAAAAGGTCTAGTAACGCCTATGGTTTTACCTCAACCAACTACAACAGTAAATCCCGCTTTTACATTAATGCATGAGTAATGAAAATCTCATGTGCTATGTAATAGTATAACAGTCACAGGGGACATTTTCCATTATGCATTGAGTACTTTTAATACTTAATTCTAGTACATTTTCCTGATTATACTTATATACTTTTATTTAAGTGACATCTTAAATACAGTTATTTTACTTGTACCAGAGTATTTTTAGAGTGAGGTATTTTTTACTTAAGGAAAGGATCTGAACCACCACTGGTCCTGTGTCAGCAGGTTGGTCTGAAAAGCCTGAAAAGCCTCGGCAGCCGCTCCTCCGCTCCTCAGCAGTGTAATCAGCCTTCAGCCTTCTACAGTTCAAGTACAGCTCGGTTCATCCTGATCAAACCTTTCATTAAACTAAACAACTTGTGTTTTACATGAGAGGAAGGAAATTGTACTTTTCTTGAGCAATTTTTCTGTTGTGAAGAGTTATCATCACGAGGCGATGCGTCGGTTGATTGACATATCCAAATGAATGAACAGTCTATTGAGAGGTCCGGGGTATATCTTTTTCACATCATTACTGTGAACATCAGTAATTTCCATCATGAATACCACAGCGTCCCCTGACAGGCTCTCATCGCGCTCCGACATTCATCGGGGGAAATGATGGTATTAGACGGGAGGCAGACTCTCGGGGTGAGGCTCCATGATGAGAGGGGGGAGGAAGGGAGGGAGCTAATTACCCTTTTATTACCAGGGACTGAACCCCCATCCCAGGAGGGCTCGCCTGGCCCTGTTTGAGATGAGGAGGATGCGGCACGCCACATTACCTCACTCTTCCTTCAGTGATGCCTGTCGCATTAAGAGCTGCGCGTACACACTGAATGTCTGTTTCTATCAGAGTTGTTTTTTAAATGCACACATTTCATTGAGGAGCATCCTCACTCCTCTAAGCAGATATGAAACGGGCAGGCAGCTGTGTTAGACGGTAAGATTAATTGATTCTTTATTTTCATGTCATGTTCACAGTGTGCACAGCCCACCGAGGCTGACACCAAACATACAGTAACAACGGTGAAACAAAACCTGTTGGTGTAAACAAAAGTTAATTGAGATATATATGCACACCTGAGGCCCGTAGCCAAAATATTTACCTTGAAAAAACACACACATTACCATCCAGGTAATGTGGTGAAGGAATCATCTTTTCTTTAAAATGATCTCTGAAATATGAGACCAAACTCTGAAAACAACCAGTTTTTCGTTTTGATATAAAAAAAACCCAATCTTGTTATCCGATTGTCTCTGATGTGTTATAGATGGAAATCGGAAATTAAAATACATGTGTTTGAATCTTATTCCTTAATTTTGCATTGTTTTTTTTTTGTCGCATACCCGGAAGTCAGGAGTTTGTACGTTAATCTAAGATGGACTACAAAAAGCACATCTTTGACCTGGTCGTTCTTACTGTGTTGTTTTAATTCAGGCCATCTAAAGGTAGACAACACGGTAGGAAATATTACCAAGATTGCAAAAATGGTTGTCATGTTGAGAATGCTTGCTCACACTCACCCTCCTGCCCACACCTATATTTATCAACATGAATCCCAATTATTGTGTGTAAATAATACATTACATTAACTCAGGCCATGTGTGAATGAAGTAAAATTAATAAATGATATTGCAGAAGGCTAGCAATATACTGGCTACAAAAAGTCATGCAAACTGAGCATACTATATAACATTAGCCTACACATTTCAACATTATCCTAACTTTGATCATTTCACAAGACTAGTAACATAGCTGGTTTCAGAATATAGGCTTAATAGCCAATGGTAACTTAAATGGTGATTGACGACAACAACACTTTATGGCATATTTCAACAAAAAATGACGTTAAAGATTTCAACGCGATGTTTCGTAAAGCAAGCGTTTTATTTTGAAATTCTAATCGGACATTGCATATTTGTTGTTTCTAAGCATTGCTAACTTGACCAGGGAGCGTGTAAAAATGACACTAAAGGGGTACCCTGGGTGTTGAAAAGCGCTTGCCTTGGACCAAGAATTAAAACAACACTGTAAGAACGCACAGGTCAAAGATGCACTTTTCCATCTTCGGATGGTTGGATGTAGCCTACAACTCGGAACTCCTGTCTTCCGGGTATGCGGCCCACAACCACTTAGGCCTACTACTTACGATAGCTTCCAGGTCACGGAACAAACCCAATGCAAAATTGGCCCTTACCTTAACCTTAACAGGAGGGTGTGGCTAAACCTAAGTCAGTGATAGTGTGCATGTCGACCGGTGAACCCAAGCTGCTAGCAGATTGGACGTGAGGCCGACGTGTGATGCTGTCGATGCAGCCTGTACAAGTTTATGTCAAGTGACGTAGGTCACGTGATTTGCCGCACTAGTTGGCACTTTTGGCAGTAGGGGGACGCACACAACTCGATGTGCACAATCTGACATACAAAATGCACAGAGGACGGTAGATGGACAAGGACAGCACAAAATGAATACACTGTCGCTTACTGACGGTGTACTGATTTAATACAAATTAAGTGACACTAAAATGAACTAATACACAAACATTGTATACACATACCTTCCTACATACTGAATATTTCTTTCAAGGTCAACAAATAGAAATGACCACAAAAAGCTGCTTTTTTAATTATGGTTGAATTCTTCCACTGGATGATGGAAAACATCTTTAGCTGGACCTCTTTTGATCTGTCTATACACATAAAATGGACTTCATTTTACGTGAGTCACATAGCAAACAAATTGTTTGTTTCTTTAGAAAGCTAGGATAGGTAAAGTTAGAGACAGTCACAGCTACATGATTCTTTTCAGAGTCTCTGATTTATTGACGGCTATAATGAGAATTTCAACCAATAAAATGCTTCTGAAATACTGTTTTATGTCTAATGGAGATGTACCTCAACAAAACGACACACAGAAGGATCTTTGACTTTTGGTCAGATTGTGCTCATTATTCTGAATAGATTCTGTGTGGTATTTATTTTTTGATGAGCCAGGAAATTCTTCTCTCAGGTGAAGGATTGTTGCTGTTGGCTGGTATCTCCACAACAGCTGCCGCCCACCGGGCTTTTCACAGCACAGTGGCGCCTAAGGCTTACTGAGAGAAATAATGTGACAAACAAAAAGCATCTGACCGGTGACAGTCCTCCAGGCCGAAACACATCACTTATGAGTGATGCTGAAGGAGGACGGCTGCAGTCAGTCAAACAGAAAGCAGGTGAACTACAGCCATCAGTACATGTTTAAACTGTAACTTAGTAGTAACAGTACCCAGTCACCTTTGTAAGAAAATGTATATTTCATAAAATAAGCATTTCCTGCTGAGCTACAGCTGGGGAGGTTAGTTCTTCAAATGAGAAACAGATGAACTCCATTTTCATTTTTAAATGCTATATTATGCTTCATATTACAGAAAAATGAGAAGTACCCCGTTTGGTAAAGCAGCTAGTGGTGGGAAATAATTAAGGCTACATTCGTTTTTTTGCTCATATGTGACTCAGATCTGATCTTTTCATGACAGGCCAAGTCACATGGAATCTGATCTTTTCCAGTTCTGGGCCACTTTCATATGTGGTCCAAATCCGACACAGGTCGGATCTTTTTAAATGCGACCCCAGTCTGGACACTCAGGTCAGAATTGATGCGACTTTGACGTCACTCTAGAGCTGCTGTTGTCACAGTTCTGCTGTAGACGGAGCCGCGGTGAACAAAAAAGTTCCACAAAAGTCACTATTAAACATGTTCAGGCTCTCTGTCTTCTCTACTTGGCTATCATCTGCTCACAAATTCCCTTTCATACGCCTGAAGTCACGACCACTGAAGTTTCAGTGGACCCAAAAATTAAAAAACCAGAGCTAACCTCTGTTGCTGTTTAATTCGGTACAACAACGTGGTGTGTGTGTGGCGTTGTGTTATTCTTCTGCGCATGCAGGTCACTTTCAGGCCGCGGACAGTTCACACTGGCGTCTGATATGGGCCGCACTTAAACAACAGTGTGAACTGTCAAACAAATAAATCGGATCCGGAGAAAAAATTTTTATTGAGCGTTAAGGCCTGCAGTCTGAACGTAGCCTAAGTAGACTTAGACCTCCTAAGCGGAGGTAGCATGGGTGCTTGGGGGTGGCCGACCCGGGGCCCACACTGGTAGGGGGCCCACTACGTGGACTATGAAGTTTAGCTCAGCAGGTTAGATGTAGTTGATTTGGTGATTAGTGCTTGCTTTCTGTGCTTCTACTATGATTAAGTAGCTACGTAGTAAAAATGTTTCTTTTTTGTCTGATTTAACCGTGTTTATTGTTGATATACGATCAGAATTCTGTAACGGGTATTTTATTTTGAAAATTGACCGTTTCTCTGCCCGTTACTGTGTCTGACTTACTGCTCGGTTCATCTGCGCAGTGCTGCTTGACGCTGGGACGCTTCCTGGACGCACTGCAGCACATCTGGTGTGAGCACAAACATTTAGTAGAAAGTCTGCTCCAGCAGCAGCGAAGCAGACAGACTCTGTGGACTTTCGGAGTCAGTCTGGGGTCATGTAAACTTGGTTAATATGTCTTTGTAGCAGGTGGGCCCACGATGAAGCTCCGCCCCCACTGTGCTGACAGTCTAGCTCCAAACACAATTCTGAGGTACTTGTACGTCACTGGGGCACTTCCATTTTATGCTGCTTTTCTACAGGGAAATATTTTTCTCCAACTAATTTAATTAACGGCTGAAGAGTTACTTCATACAAAGCATGTGATTATCTTATAAATTATGATACTACAGATTTAATTCCCCAACAGTATTACAGATTAAAATGTGTATTTTTCTACATAAATTATAAATAATATTAATATTATCCATGTGACAAATGTATTGGTTACTCCATTTTGTTCATTTGAAAAATCTGAACTAGAATTAATGTCTATGGAACCCTTCTTTCATAACTGCTGAAACCAACACGTCCTCATACCTAAACCACAAAATAGGGTGATTGTCAAGTGTCTCATAACGACATGTACTGTATATACAGCGACAGGCTCACCGGACTTTCAGTATGTTACGTAAGTCACGTGATTTTTAACACCTCAAAACTGTTGTAAAAAGGGTTGATGTTTGGTTAGGTTTAGGCAAAGATAATGGTTTGGGGTAAAGTTAGTAAATTTATGTAAGTCAGTAACGCTATTTAACTATCAACTCAACATTTATTTTTACAACTGGAACGCCTTTCTCCTGTGTGAAAGTCCTGGGTTTGAACCATACGACCTCCATACGCGCACTTTGTCGCTATTTATAATACATCGTCTGACTTCCTCTGGCTTCGTCTGGCTTCCCCCAGATGCCCGCCCATGGGTCTGGACCATGTCGGCATCAGTTTGAGTCGGGGAGTGAGAACGGGTTGAGTAGAGAAGTTGAATGGTGTGTGCAGAAACAACATGCTCATTTGTTTGTGGGTTATTTTGTCTTGACCTGAGGTGATGGGCAAGTGGAAACTTTAACCTTTTGGTAGTCCTAAAAGTCAGAGGATCACCAGATCCTTCTTTTTCTTCATTCTCTGTACCAATCTCTCCGCCAGTCCATCTAATAGGTTTTGAGATTTTTCACCCTGGACTAAAGCGTTGAACTGACAGACTGTCTGTATTGTCACTAAATCTGCTAACACGGCTAAGAAGTCTATTTAAAAGTGAGGAGAACATGTTCTGCTCTCGGTCTGACCTGACTGAAGCCGACAACTTGCAATTTGAGCCAGAGCCAGAATCTTAATGACTGTAACCCAGCCTCTTTATTCCGCACTAACTTTTAACAGTTAATAACGGTTTTTGTTGTTTTACTTTTTTCCCCCCTTTAACACAACTCCTACAGACTTTGTGCTGCACAGAGCGATGCAAGCATGGTGTTGATGCTGTAGTACACGGCCCAGTCCTGATTCAACCCCCTCATTAACGAACAGAAACACCATCCGTGGGGCTTGGCTGTCACTGTTCACATTATGAGTTCATAAGCCCATCTCTAATTCATGGTGGGGAGATTACTGTGTGTAGACTGTTGTGTGTTTGGGAGAAGTTTCAAAGGGAGCTCACTGGTTGATTTCGTGCTTTCCATTTCAGTTGGGTTAATGAGTCGGACTCAGAGAGACAGCCAGAGTACGAGCCTCGTGTTCTTGGAGCTGGAATCTTTCAGGAGAAGGTAATTTATTCTGTTATATCTCATTTCTATGTAAACAATGGATATTGTCATCTACATTCTGCCTGTGTAGTGTTTTGGGGTTGAACACATTCCTATTTTTCCTCCCTAGGTGTTTTTTTCTTCAGGTTATTATTATTAATATTGGTAATATTGGTCAGTAAAAACACAGCTCTTTCTGAGTGGGATTCATCTTGCAAGACAGTTTTTTTTGTTTAATTTCATTTGCAGAAATTTTAATGAACATCCTTCAGGGTTTGCATATATAATTAATTGCTTTTTATACCTAACATGCCAGTACAACAACATGCTGCCCGTTCTTTGGAAATGTATTGTAAGACTCTGTAGATTTCATCATGTGACCGCTGTGTACAAGTACACTATCCATACATCACTTACTGTTAGTCAGTATACAGTACTTATATATTTTAAGGCTCAGTTTTTGTGGTGTAGGTGTTACTGAAGTCAAGTAATCCCACTTATTTAAAAATGTTAGTCCCATTTCCAGACATAATACTAAACTGATTATCATAGTATACTGTTTTTGTAGAGAAGTCATTGTACTTGACACTTTTATACTAATAGAAAATGATAGAAATGCACAGATGCATGTCAATCAAGCTGTGATTTTGTAATCTACATGTGCTGCTGCCACTCATTGTTACAGACCCCCACAAAAACAAGCCTTTGGGTTAAAGATGGACGTAACTGCAATGTAGAGATGGAAATAATGAATCACATAGCTGATCTGACTCATTTTCTTCAGTTCACTGATAAAAGCACCATGAAGGTCAATGAAAGCCCTCAAGAACAGCACTGGGCTGTGATGATTCTGACACAGTGGCCACACTCTGTGTTGCAGGTCCCGTGACGCAAACTGGCACAAAAAATCCTTTTCCTGTGCACAATTATGAAAGAAGAATCAGCTGTTTTGAGTATCTTACAAACACTTTGAAACAAGGTTTTGCGGTTCAGTTGCATTCTGGGTAATGTAGGTGCTAGTGTTGTAGTCAAGACCACCCAAACCGAGACCAAGTCAAGGCCAAGACCAGAGTTTATCGACACCGAGACAAGACCAAGACTTTTAGGGGCTGAGACCAAGCCGAGACCAAGACCGAGGGAGGGCGAGACCGAGTCAAGACCGAGACCAGTTCCCCACATTACATGACACACAATAATAAAATGTGGAACGAGATCATAGGTACTTCTCAGATTGATCTGAAAGATCCACATTCCCATTAAAACGCCCACATATAAACACTAAGAGCTGAAATGAACATAAGCATCTTTATTCAACGCTCCTTTTTCATGCATACCATCGCGGGGAGGGGTGACAGTCGTTACCGGTAACAACACATTTTTAATTAGGGTTATTGGTTGCATTTGAAGCAATACGTTTTACATCCAATCAAAGTTAGGATGTTAACAAATAAATCAGACCATGTAAAAGCAATTTATTGATATTCCCAAAGTTATGGTCTTGACTGGACTTGAAATAAAATCGAGATTGAGTACAAATGCGGTCGAGTCCAAGACCGGGCTCAAGTACTACAACACTAGTAGGCGCCAGTATTTTACAAATAGTAATAAGACAATATGTCTGGTTTGGTTGCTTCAATTTTTGATCCTTTGTTTTAAACTGTCATTCAGTCTGACAATGTTATATTAGTGCAACAACACATCCTCATACCTAAAAGACAAAATAGGTCCATTGTCAAGTGTCCCAAAACGACATCTACGCGCATTGGCAAGTATCAGTCCAGTGACAGGCTTTAGTGTGTAACGTGAGGTTAAAATGTTGTAAAAATGCCGTAGTTTGGTTAGGTTTAGGCAACAAAACTACTGGCTTTATGAAAGATGGTGGTTTGGTCACATGGTGTAAGTCATTTATCTTGAAGTTTGTCAACTTTGACTTTCCTCCTTACATGGACTCTGTCACTCTTTATACTACGTCACCTGACTTCTTCTGCCACTAGAGGCGTAACAAAAAATGCATCACAATAAGCTGCTGCATAATCAAACTTTACGGCACTTTTTCTGATGAGGACTGGCTGAGTGCAATGATAAACCAGTGGAATGCTCTTTTAATACAATCACGCATCCACATGGATTGGAAGAGACGCATTCAGCCATACTCACACAAAACTTTTATTAACACTGTTCTCCCACTTCAACCTATAAAGCAACAAACTGCCACAACAAACTGGAAACGAACGAAAGTCACAAGAGTCACATAAATGAAGGTACTGGTGCACACAACACATTTACTGCATCGTTTAATGAGTTAGGAGTGAACTTTGCCAACTTTGCCAAGTAGTTACAAACAATAAGGCCATGTCTGTACTGGAGACACAAAGATGAAACTGATATTGATCTTCTCATCTGACTCTGGGCAGGACAACAAACAACCGCATTTCCCAAAATGTCAGTGTGCTTCTTTAATTAGGCATTTGTACACTATCGGCAAACAACAGCTCTGACGTATTGATAGTCATGATTCTGCTGGACACCTTCGCCTGGACACGACAGCTCTGAGCACTCGGCCTGGTGTGAAATTGAGCCCCTCTGGTTGGCATCTGCTGCAGAAAATACCTGATCCTCATAAACAAACACAGTCTGCCTTCGCTGCTGCTTCTTCAAGCCCGTATTCACACACCAATCAATGAGGGGATCCCACACACTGATACATAGGCCAAGAAAATTGGCTTTCTTCTCCTTCAGAAGATTCTGGTGATTACCTATATAGTGCTGTTGATTGGAGATTGATCGCAGGTTGAAATTAGACAGCGGTGGGTCCCCCTTTTTGTGATTTGTGAAAGGCTTGATGCACTGATAGAGTATGATAGATAGAAAAGGAGGAGCAGGAGCTGCCGACAGCTGAGGGCACGCCACAAAAAATCTCCATCTTAACAAGTCATTTAGTCTGTTATGAAGTCCTCAGTATCTTATTTTCTTAAAACAAGCACCGAAAATTGCCAATCATTATTATTTCAATGCAAATCAGCTTGTTTTTAGATTTTTTCAATAATCTGTCAAAAATATTTTAAGCATCAAAGTGTCAAAACCAGTAGCTGCCAGAATAACAACAGCAACTCATCAAGAAACAGGTTAACTGAAATAATTAGGGGTGGGTCAGAAAGACAAAACCTTTTTTTGCAACTGCACTAAAAAAAATAGGACAAAGCAAAAACAGACATAAATCGCTGCCCAGATATATCACACTTCATTGTAGTGACCACACACACAAACTGACAATTAACCGTACAGCAGTGGTTGGCAATAGGTGGCCAGAACCGGCCTGCCAGCAATAATATCTGGCCCGCAGCCAGATTACTTTGATAGCAGAAAAATAAATACATAAATAAATTCATAACGGCTTGTGCTGAAATAGATCTCAGTCCTCTTAAGTGTCTGTGTCTCCAAAACAAACGCTCGAGTACGTTTTTTGCAGCCATGCTTTATGTTGAGTTTATTGAGGGCTTTCACTTTTTGAAAAGTTCTGAAGTACATTCAAAAGAGTCTCTGGCTTGCTTGACACACCAAATAAGTGTCCATAGGTTTATGAATGCGGATCAAACGCCGGGACGCGCCCACATCACTGCAGCACATGCTTTATCATGAGCATGTGCTGCAGTGTCCTTATAATGAATTTGTTTAAAAAGGGAGGAAAAAAATGTTAGCACTATGTTGGGATCAATCAAACAACTCTCCCAACGGGAATCCTGCACACTACCAACTGGGCTAAACGCGCACACGAGTATCCAAGGATTTGGATCATAATCTGATGATGATAAAAGTCTGAAATAGCTGTGTTGTCTGTGTAGAAGATTACTGAGGTTCTGCCCCATGTTAATGGCTGGAGAGGTCACAGTGTGTTCCTGAGCTACGAACCATTTCTTAATTCAGACCTCCACGGCAACAACGAAGCAGGGAGGTGGCTTCTTGGACTCCAGCTGCAAATGTTTTCTCAAAAGCAATCATTAAGGTTTTTAAAATAACTTCAACTTCAATTAATCCCCCCCAGTCTCTCTGACTGGATCGGCGGAGTGGAAATCAGTGGAGCAAATGTTCTGTAACTGGGGAAGCCTACAGGTCCGTCCTAACATTGTCATAGGGAGCTGCTGTCTTGTGTCTCTTTCTTTCACGAGGGATAAACCTCAGCAACACTCCACAGAAAGTGGTTCAGCAGCATCAGCCAGTGAACCGCGGACAGGTGTTGTTTCAGGTTTGTCTGCAGCTATAACACTTAGGCTAGTAGCAGTGAGTTGGTGAGGTGACAAGCCTTACATGTGTTGCTTTCTAGCTAGTTAGCAATTAATATTATACATTTATTAAATTATTTTCCGTTCTTCTTTTTCCCACTAATGTTCCCATTCCCTTCGAAACTGTCAAACTGAATGAAGCTGCTTTCTGAAGCACCAGTTATGTTTGAAGCTTCGACATCATCGGTCCCGTGATGAAGGATAAAACATGCCAAACGTCTGGTATGGTCCTTTTTAAAGTGGGCCACACGAAAAAATGTGAACATAAATGATCAATCACAGCTCTTATTTATTCCAAATAATATATTTTCGCACAGCGGGAACAAAGCATTCTCAACCCATTGATAACATTTATTCCTTGTTTGATTAAAATTAGATGTTGAAGGCCAGTACTGAGCCTAAATGTCTGCTTCGTTTTTTCTGCTGTGTGCACTTGCCTGTCTCTGAAAGTAGGAAAATAATACGGCGGCAGTAGAAGTTTCTGGACTCCTATCTCTCTCTCAGTGATGAGCTGTGACTTTGGAACGTGAATGCGAGACGAGCGAGGTCACCACCGCTGAGGGAAGAACATTTTCATTGTACCCCCAGAAGCAATTGTATTCAGGGAAGAGTTAGAGAGAGTTATTTTGTAAGAAGAAATGTTCTGAAGTGCTCTTTGAAAGACAGCTGGCTCCCCCTTTCATTATTTGCAGTATCTAAAGCAGAGAGAGATACCGCCATGTTAGCAGGAGGCTGACTGAG